TAGACGGATTACAAGGTGCTAAACCTTTAGAGCTGTAAGCAAAGGTTTCATTATTTCCCTGCGCACATGAGAATGCAAGCTTCCCCCAACAGATACAACCATGAAATTTAATTTTAGCTCAAAAAGGTGCAAATGCTATGCTCCATTAACAGCATTTCTTTCAAAAATCACCCCAGTACTGCCATGATAGCAACAAAAAGTGCACGCAATCACATTTAATGCAAGAGCTATCTGCTCCTACTCCAACAAGTGTGACGCTTTTGCTCTGTAGAGAAGTGCTGCGGTAGTCAAGGTCACCCTGCAAAAATGTCTTATCATGGTTGACTAGTGTTCCCAAGGAGTAGTCTTGCCTTCTCAGTGCTTAAACCAAAAAGATGCCAAGGTTTAAAAATAACTTTGGAAAAGAGAGGAGAGGTATGGGGGGAGCAGTAAGGCTATCCTACCTGAGCAAATCAGAGTAAGCCTGCAAACCATATACTTGCTTCCTTATGAATAAGAACTGCTGCCAACTGTGTAGAACTTACTTCCATATATATCTTTGTGGGCTTGTGCTGCACAGATGAAGGGAGAGAGATTAAAAAGACTTTGATTCCTTGGCTCTGCAATCTGGTAACATCTATAAAACCCAGGGAAAACCCGAGCCAGCCAGGCCCAGGTCAGAAATGGCTCAGAGTGCAATGTGATACTCCCTTCCCACTAGCATCCCTACTGGGGAATGAGTAGCAACTCCCACCATGAGCAGAAAGCCGCTTTCAATACAGCTGGGGAGGAAGGGGGGCGGGAGAAGGTGTGGAAAGAAAGGGATGGGGAAAGTGGCCATCATTGAAGTCCATGGAGGCACGTTCTCCTCAAGGACAGAACATCCATCCCCCTCTGCCCCAAGTACTGTGCTCACACCTACCTGTTGGCCTGAAATATACTGCTAGATCCAACTGGAGTAGACCTGTTCCCTCCATGGGATTTACCTATGGGTTGACTTTGTGTGTGTGTTGTGCGCCTACAAGTCCTTTCCTTTATGGCGGGGTTCCCAACATTTTTGACTCACTGAGCCTTTATTTCTATGGGGGAGCCCCTAAGAGGCCTACCCTGTCTTGCAAATTAATGGTATTTAGGAGTATATGTAAGAATATATTCTTATTCTTTAATTTCATTCAATTTTTATTTCTTTCATTTTCCTGGAGCAGCCGTGGAGCACCTGGTTGGAACCCTTGCTTCATGAAGGCCCTAAGGTTACCCTATCACTGGGTTTTCTTGGTATGTTTCTTCAGAAGAGGGTTGACACTGCCTTCCCCTCAGGCATACAGTGCACAAGCATGCACACACACACACACTTATACAAAACATCTTCCTCCTCTATATATGTGTGTGTGTGTGTGTGTGTGTGTGTGTGTGTGCGTGTGTGTAGAGGGGCCTTTTGTGTTTGTGTGTTGTTTGTATGTGTCTTCAAGTCGTTCCTGACTTATGGCGACCCCCTATCATGGGGCTTTCTTGACAATATTTCTTCAGAAATATGTAGAGAGAAATGCATCTGAAGAAGTAGACTTATGTCTACAAAAGCTCATGCTGCCAACTTCTTTCTTTCAGTTAGTCTCAAAGGTGTTATAAGATCTCTCTCTACATACTGATTCTACAGACTAACATGGCTATGTCTTTGAATTCTTCAGAGGGCGTTTGCCCTTGCCATCCTCCTTGGGGCTGAGAGGCTGTGACTCGCCCAAGGTCACCCAACGGTTTTTCACGGGCCCAGCCGGGATTCCTACCCAGGTCTCCCAGAGACATATTCCAACAACGGGTTTACTCACCATTTAGTGATGCAGTGGGCCTTACACCCAGAAAATTCAGGCCTTTCTCTTCCCTCCTTTCTCATCCCCAAGTCAAATTCACAGAATCATAAAGAGTTGGAAGGGACCCCAAGGGCCATCCGGTCCAATTCCTCACTTTGTTCCCAGAGTAATGGAAAAATCATGGGATGGAAAGTGGCCTCTCGAGAGCCACGATTTCCTCCCCTCCCTCCTTCCTTTTTCCTTCCTTCCTTCCTTCCTTCCTTTGCAGGATTTGTTCAGGACAAAGGGCCGCGTGCCAAGCCATTACTTAACACAGGCCCACGCCCAGGATGCTGGGATCTGCTCAGGAAGTGAAGGAGAAGGCCAGCATCCTCCTCCTCCTCCCCATTTCCCCCCCCCTTCCCTAACAGGCAGGGTGACCAGGGGTCCTCAGCACCAAAGGAGGACAAGGCACCAGGGAATGGAGGACATTCGAGGGGAGAAAAAACGAAGGACGTGACCCAATAATTTATAATTATATATATATATAATTTTTATTTATATATAATTATAAATTATTGGGTCACATCCTTCGTTTTTTCTCCCCTCGAATGCTCTCTATTTCCTGGTATCTTGTCCTCCTTTGGTGTAAAGATGAAAATAAAAGATGAAAGCACTCATAGGCATGTAAGATCCTGCTTCTTTATCACACCCAAAATGGAGGAAGTGCCGAAATAAAAACACAGATAAAATGTCAATTCGAGGTTCTTTATCATGCTCAAAACAGGGGACGTGACCAAATGAAAGCTGGAAACACTCACAGGAATCTAAATTCGTGCTTCTTTATCATGCTGAAAATGGAGGACGTGGCCAAATAAAGAGAAAACACAGAGAAATGTGAATCTGTGCTTCTCAGCCATGCTCAAAATGGAGGACATTCCAAATAAAACACGCAGAAATGTAGATTCCTGGTTCTTTATCGTGCTCAAAATGGAGGACGTGCCCAAACCAAAGCTGAAAACACCCATAGAATTATAAATCCCTGCTTCTCAGCTTTGCTCAGGCGTTTCGGCATTCCTCCTGGAAATGGAGGACAAGTCCTGGAAAAGGAGGGCGCCTGGTCACCCTACTATTAGCCCTTATTTCCTCCTAAAGGTATAGATATATTTTTAACTATAAACCTCTTTAAAAGAGTTGCAGAGGAATATATATAGGCATAATTATTTCTGAACTATAAAGCTTATAAAAAGTGACGCAGAGGAATATATACATATATAGAGAGAGAGAGAGAGAGAGGCATACTAAATTATTTTTTGAACTATAAAGCTTTTTAAGTGTCACATATATATAATATGTATATGGCATAATTAATTATTTTTTGAACTATAAAGCTTTTTAAGTGTCGCAGAGGAATATATATATATATACATATATATAGGCATAGTTAATTTTTTTAATTATAAAGCTTTTTAAAAGTGTCGCAGAGGAATATATATAGGCATAATTATTATTTTTTTTGAACTTTGAATTTTTTCGACACTTTTAAAAAGCTTTATAGTTCAAAAATAATAATTAATTATGCATTTAAGAGGAAATATGGGCTAATTGCCCATATAGAAATATAGAATATATTTATATATAGAACAGAGAGAGAGAATATATATATATATATATATATATATATATATAAACTTTAAAAAAGGTTCACTGGCAAAATAGAGTGAGGGGAAAGGGAGAAGGGAGTGTTTTCCCCTCAGGCTCCCCCTGAAAGGCCGCACCGATATCCGCCTACCTGCCTCACCTTCCTTTCCTTACCTTCCCTGCTCAGATACGACCGTTGCCTCGGAGAGTCTCTACCTCTCTGAAGGGACGCTCAGCCCCGCGCGGCGTCAAGGTGGCTGCGAAGACCTCCTCAGATCCCTCCGCGCCGGCCTTCTCTCCTCCTCCGCCAATCACGTTCCGAGAATCCAACTCAGGACTATTTTTTTAAAACCCCTTCCTCGCTTCGACGGAATTGTTCCCCGCGGAGGGATTGAGAAGTGATGCGTCACAAGAACTAACGGTCCAATGGGAGGCGGCCAACCGAAAGGCACCCGCGCGATGATTGACAGTCACATCGGTTGAGGGGGCGGGGCTAAGGCTGGCCTTGCTGAGGCGCTTACTTACCTGAGGGGAAGAAGCCCTCTCACAGAGCTTATTATTCGCATTCGTTTTTTAAGGTATAGGTAGCATTCAATGAGTGCCTTCAAGTCGTTTCCGACTTTTATGGAGATCCTGAGGCGACCCTGTCATGGGGTTTTCTTGCCCAGCTTTGTTCAGGGGAGGTTTGCCATTGCCTTCCTCCGAGGCTGAGAGAGTGTGACTCGCCCAAGCTCACCCAGTGGGTTTCCATGGCCGAGTTGGAATTGAACCCTGGTCTCCACAGGTCTCCTAGGCTGTAGGAATAACCCAGTTTGATACCACTTTAACTGCCATGGCTCCATGCTACAGACTCCTGGGATTTGTAGTTTGTTGTGGAGCCAGAGCTCTCTGACAGAGATGTCTAAGGACCTGAACAGACTGCCAGAAATAGTCCAGCTTGAGACCACTTTAACTGCCCTGGCTCAATGCTAGGGAATCATGGGAATTGTAGTTTTTTTTCTGAGACATTGAGCCTTCTCTGTCAGAGAGCTCTGGTGCCACAATAAACTACAGTTCCCATGATTCCCTAACATTGAGCCAAGGCAGTTAAACTGACCTCAAGATGGATTATTTCTGGCAATCGGTTCAGGCCCTATATATCATCATCATCATCATCATCTTCTTCTTCTTCTTCTTCTTCTTCTTCTTCTTCTTCTTCTTCTATTATTATTATTATTAAACTTTATTTATAAAGCACTGCAAATTTGCACAGTGCTGTACAGATTAATCAGATTAATTAAAATAAAGGTACAAAAGGTACAGTCTCACAGAAAAAGGACCTCACAAAAAGTACAGTTCCCCAGAATTCCATAGCATTGAGCCATGGCAGGTTAAAGTGGGGTGAAACTGGGTTATTTCTGCAGTGCGGACTCTCGTAGAGTCGTAGAATCATAAAGTTTGGGAGAGACCTGAAGGGCCATCCAGTCCAACCCCATTCTGCCATGCAGGAACTCACAATCAAAGCACCCCATTGTGACCGATGGCCATCCAGCCTCTGCTTAAAAAACCCAAACCATTTATAACAAATTTTGTATATTCAGTTTAATAACTTGCAGAGACAGTGTGGTGTAGTGGTTTGAGCATTAGACTGACTTTGGAGACCAGGGTTCAAATCCCAGCTTGGCCATGTAAACCCACTGGGTGACCTTGGGCAAGTCACACTCTCTCAGCCTCAGAGGACGGCAATGTCAAACCTCCTCTGAAGAAACTTGCCACGAAAACCTCAGAATAGGTTCACCTTAGGGTTGCCATAAGTCAGAAATAACTTCAAGGTACCCAACAATAACTTGCACCTCACTTTGTAAAAGTGAACTCAAAGCTTAGGCTTACATCCTAAAAACAATCCAAAGTCACACAATATGTGATATTCTTCCTAATAATTAAATCGGTAATCTTGACCATCTTACCAAGTCTTTCTGAATACCTCTCCATACTTTATTGTAGTTATCCTCGTACAAATCGGCATTTCTTTTTGTTAGATATATTCCCAAATATTTCACCTTCTTTTCTATTCTTAAACTTTGATTCCCCCCCCCCTTTCAATAATTCCCCATCTCTTTTTTTTTGGGACATATTCATTGTTATGATTGCTGTCTTTTCCTGGTTTACTTTGAATCCTGCTAATTTACCGTACTCTTGTAAAATAAAGATGAATATACTGCCCAAACTCCAGCATCTATTCCAAAATATTCCTATAATCTATAATGACAAATGGTTTGACAATATGGCGAAAGGGAATCCCTAAATTCCTGTGGCAAGTAAGGGCCTTTTCAGACTGCTAGAAATAGTGCAAATTGAGTCTGCTTTAACCGCCCTGGCTCAGTGCTAGGAATCATGGGAATTGTATTTTTTTCTGAGACATTGAGCCTCCTCTGTCAGAGAGCTCTGGTGCCACAATAAACTACAGTTCCCATGATTCCTTAGCACTGAGCCAGGACAGTTAAAGCGGATTCAATTTGCACTATTTCTGGCAGTCTGCAAACGCCCTAAGAAGCCCAGAATAAATAAGATGCTCCAGCCTAGTAGAGACTAGAGAGAAGGGAGGTTGCTCTTTTTCAAATTTTAAATTATATTACTATGCCTGCCCTATGAACTGGATAGAAGATTGGATACATTTGGAAAATGAAAGATTGTTAAGCCTGGAGAGTGACACTATAAGATTTGGTTGGCATGCCTTTATGTGGTATAGAAAGGGGTAGGCAACCTTTCCCCTTTAAGGGCCGAGGGACTTCAGCTCCCAGAATCCCAGGAGCTATTGGCCAACATGGGACTATTGGCCAACATGCCTGAGGCTTCTGGGAGCTGAAGTCCCTCGGCCCTTAAAGGGGAAAGGTTGCCTGCCCCTGTATGAAAAAGCATCCAATATAAAATTCTGAATCAGAATATAACAAGCCTCTAACCCACCAGCAGTAAGAAAAAGAGAATATTCAGGCAAGAACAGAGGATGTTTCTTTGTTTCATTGTTGCAATGTAACATTTTATTGTAGATCCTGCTTTTCCCTTCAAATGAAGTGGAAAGTTAAATTCTTGATGCTGCTGATCCTCCCAAAATTAACCTCAGAATTGTTTGAGGAAGACTAGTGTGGTGTTGTGGTTTGAGCATTGGATTAGGACTCTGGAGACCAGGGTTCGAATCCCAGCTCAGGCATGGAAACCCACTGTTGTGACCTTGGGCAAAGTCACACTCTCTCAGCCTCAGAGGATGAGAATGGCAAACCCCTTCTGAACAAGTCTTGCCAACCAAACCCCATGATAGGGTTGTCTTAGGGTCTCCAGAAGTCGGAAACGACTTGAAGGCACACAACAACAACAAAACAACAACAACACAACAACAAAAACAACAACAACAACAACAGCAAAGGTGGAGAAGGAGCTGGACTCGGCCGAGGTCATTTAGCAGACATCATGGCTTCATGGTTTGAGTGTCAGACTACAAGACTGTACAGACTGCCAGAAATAATCCAGTTTGAGACCACTTTAACTGCCCTGACTCAGTGCTAGGGAATCATGGGAACTATAGTTTATTGTGGCACCAGAGCTCTCTGACAGAGAAGGTTCAATGTCTCAGAAAAACTACAATTCCCATGATTCCCTAGCACTGAGCCAAGAAGTAGTCTCAAACTGAATTATTTCTGGCAGTCTGTACAGGCCCTACAACCCTAGGGACCAGAGTTAAATTTCCCACTCAGCCGTGGAAACCCACTGGGCAAGTCACACCCTCTCAGCCCCAGAAAACCTTGTGATAAGTTACACCTTAGGGTTGGCATAAGTTGGAAATGACTTGAAGGCACACAACATACAAACGTGGAGAAGGAGCTGGATTTGGCCAAAGTCATCTAGCAAATTTTATGACTTGGTGGCCAATGGGGTTGCCCAGTTCTCCCAGTCCATCATTCGGGTTCCCAGTTCAGGATCTTCTTAGACCCTGAAATTCCTGGGCTAAAATCTGAGATCTATGGGTGGCTCCTGGTGATGGCATTAAGCAGGTATGGCCTAGGTACCAACCAAAGTTGCTCACAGCTCATTATCCATTCTCTTTTCACACACATACATTGAGAGAGAACTTGTTTTCTTTTCTGGAGATTAAGACAGAAATTTTAGGTAAGGGGCTGTTCCCAGATCAAAATGAAATGAGACTATTCTTCTCACTTATTTAGGGAGATGAGACAAGAAACATTTAATCTAGGCTATGATGCTGAGCCGGTGTGGTCTGAGTGTTGGGCTACGACTCTGGAGACCAGGGTTTGGTTCCCAGCTGGGCCATGAAACCCACTGGTTAACCTTGGGCAAGTCACATGCTCTCAGCCTCAGGGGAAGGCAATGGGAAACCTCCTCTGAACAAATCTTGCCAAGAAAACCCCATGAGCCTTAGGATGGTGTCCATAAGTCAGAAACTACTTTATGGTACACAACACACACGTGCGCACTCATGTGCTCTTAGCCAGAAGATAGATGCAGAGTAGAGCGGATGGTGAGCTCTGGCCCCACAAAGACTGGAAGGAAGGGAGGAAGCTATCAAAGTAAATACATAGATAGATCCCTGGAGAGTTTTTATCAGTTGTAGCAAGGGATCAATTAAGCCTTAATAATTGTAGCAAGACGCTGTCTACTAGCTGAGCTGGAGATTTATACTCAGCCCTTTCCTCTTGCCTGAAGCTGAGCCCCCTCAAACTGGAGAATCTGTACCCTCATTCCTGACTGGGGATGATCCACGAAAATTGAAGACAAGGCCAGGCCCTGAGATTTGCCAACTCTAATTCTAACCTAGGCATGGACTACTTTCTTCGAGTCCCAGTTCGGCCATTAAATCCTCTGGGTGACTTTGGGCAAGTCACACTCTCTCAGCCTCAGGGGAAGGCAATGACAAACCTGTGTTTGCCGCAATACATTTGCTGGTCTTTAAGGTGACACGTGGCTGTTTTACTGTGATAAACTGACATGGTTGCCCCATCTTCAGAAATTGTTATGCACGCATTAATTTAATTTTAATTTTCTTGAGAGCCATTTCTAACTGAGCTGTTCATATCGCATCTTCAGGTCACAAATTCTGTACATTTATTCTGCCCTGTACTTCCTTCTCTCTGTCTTTAATCTTCTGCCAATCAGATCTGTTGAATAACCCAGAGCACTTCCAGCAAAAAGTGCTGGCAAATGCTGGGCATGCTGAGCAAATACACAAAGCACCTGAAAACCACATGCAAAACCATACCTTTCTCTATCTGTGCTGTTTCCTCTTAGAACAAGTAGATAAGCGGTCTTGCAGCAGCCACACTACCAAAGTATCAAAAGTCTTAGGCAAGCAAGCCCCTTTTCTTTGAAGCATTCTGCATTGCTCTATCCACCAAATAACTCCCTTTTCTTTTAAACCTTTTTTACTTTTTGTTCTTCAGTTGTGATTGTTTAATTGTAAATTTAGTATTGAGTTGGGGGGTGGGGGTGGAGAAGGGATTAATTTTGAATTTTATTGTATTCTATGTATTTTTATTGCTGTAACCTGCCCGGATCCCTTGTGATTGGGCAGGCTATAAGTAAATAATTTATTATTATTATTATTATTATTATTATTATTATTATGTTTCAGCTGCCTAGTGGCTCAGAGTGCAATCCTATACATGTCTGTTTAGAAGGCAGGATCATTGTTTTCATTGGCGCTTATTCTCTAGTAAGGTTGCATCTTTGCCAAGCCGCCGCCTTCCAGATGCTGCTGGATTCCAAATGGTCAATGATCCATTCCAATGGTCATTATTGATGACCATTAATGGGGGCATATTCTAAAGCACTAGGTTTTACCAGGCTGATCTACAGAATTGCAGTTTGATGCTCCCAACTCACTTTGTTTGTCGTTTCCAACCTATGGCAACCCTATCACAGGGTTTTCTTGGCATGTTTCTTCAGAGGGGGTTTGCCATTGCCATCATCTGAGGCTGAGAGAGTGTGACGTGCCCAAGGTCAGTCAGTAGGTTTATATGGTTGATCTGGGATTTAAACCCTGGTCTCCAGCGTCCTAGTCCAATGCTCAAACCACTATGCCATGCTGGCTTCCTGCCAACCATCTATTTCACCCTAACTTGTTTATCTCTAACCAACAATCTTATTTATGTATTTATTGGATTTATACCCCATCTTTCTCCCAGGATGGGATCCAAGGTGGTGGCTATGTAAGTAGCTCTTCTTTTTTAAAATGGAGGCATAAAGGGCATACAAGACAGGACTTTGTTGTTGTTGTGTGCCTTTAAGTTGTTTCTGACTTATGGAGACCCTAAGGTGACACTGTCACAGAGTTTGCTTGGCAAGTTTTGTTCGGAGGGCATTTGCCGTTGCCTTCCCCTGAGGCTGAGAGAGTATGAAGTGCCCAAGATCACCCAGTTTATTTGGGATTCGAACCCTGGTCTAGTCCAACATTCAGATCTCAATACCAGACAGTCAAGGAGAGGTTTTTAAATCTTTCTATACTTAATGCTTTTCTATTCTTCCCTCCCTTCCCTATCCAGCCTTTCCACTGCTAGGGTTTCAGAGAATTTCTGCCTTTCCTTTCATCCTTGAATTCTCTCTCTCTGTCCCCTGGAGGCAATTCCAGCCAGTCATAACGTAATTTCATTATATAAGATTTAGTATCTGTAATTGCTTATTGTCTGCTTCCAAGTCTTTCTTTATTTTGCTGTGCCTGCTAGACTGGAAGCCACTGGGGAAGAAAGCATCCATTTGCTCAGATCTTGCTAGTATAACACAAAAGAATTTTAAGCATTTGGCAAATAACAGTAACAAGGGTTTAAAAGTGAGAGGAAATCAGAAATTTGGGTTAGCTGTCTGAACTGTCCTGGCTTCCATTCTTGGGTTTTGCCAAGACCAGACTTGAGCAAGAGTGTAGGTTTCAGATGGCAGAGACGGATGGAGGGAAGGAGTTGCAAAATCCATAGGCGAGTGAAATGTCAAAACCAAAATAGCAACCCAAAGCAAAAAGATAGGATAGGGAGGCAGACAGTCTGGCAGAGAGTTGGAGGAGTCAAATGACTTATTTGAGCAAGAAGCTGCTTACAATCCAGAGGAGTTGCTAGTCTTGGGATTTCATAGAACCATGCAGAAGATGGTTGGTTCCTTATGGTCACCTAGACTCCATGGGTAGGGATAATAATAATAATAATAATAATAATAAT